TTATAATGCTCCTGGCTTTACTCACGGGGTGCGCACTCACTACTGTAAGGATATTTAGGAGGGCTCACCAGCCTGTTAGAGTTAGCTTATAGGCTGACCAGTATGGCTCCACCTGAAGGAGATCGTACACCAATATATAGAGGACCAAGTACAACGGAAAGGAGGTTAGACACATAAGTTCCTACACACTCTCTCTTTATCTAAGTACACTTTCTCTCTCTAAACACATACTAACTTAAGCATCGGAGCAGGAGTTCCTCGAGCCATCCCCGAGGGCAATTACGTTTGTTACCATGTGCAGGTTACTCAGCTGGACCCGGCCCGTACCTGTGTGAACCCCCAGTGCCATACCGGCATTTATTGGCGCTAGAAGAAAGGGCCAGGATTATCCGTACTTAAAGTTCGCCGACTGAGCAAGGACCGGCTGGTTAACCACTATGGTCGGAGAAGGAGCGATAGAAACACTAACCTCGAAAACAACCAAACACCACAAAAACCAACATCAGCTACTACGGATCTTAAGGGATCCACCAAAAAATCCAAATTAATTGTAACCCAAAAATCCAATCCCGCCGGACTAGCACCTAATGCGACAAAAATGGTGATGAAACCGGGAGATCTGGCAAGATCTAGTCCATCTTTCAAATTTGAAATGCCAGTAACAGGCTTGAATAACAAAACAATCATCCAAACTCCCCCAACCCTGAAATCTTAGATTGTCAACATGCCAACCATCCTCCAAAACCTTTCCAAATGCAGTAAGGAGCAACAGGCGCCGTTGACGGCGGTGCTTACCAATTTTGGAAAAGAAGTTGGCTCGACATCAGTTGTTGCCACCTCAGAGCCAGCAACCAAGAAGCTTGCATCACCAGTTCTCACCCCGGAGCAGAAAGAGCTGATGCATTTGAGAAATAGGGTTCTAGAACTGTAAGCTCACAACCTGAACTAGGAGTGGGAAGAGGACGAAGCGGCTAAGAAGGGAAGCCCAGAGGCACAAGTTACTAGCAGAAGATCTCCGATCACAGACGAGGGCCAAGTCTGGATAGGGGGAAGTGTGCTCGGCTTTAGGTGATTCCAAACGATTCCTTATTTTGCACGAAGATTCTAAAAAAGCCGATGGAGAAGATCAAGATGCCAACCTACAAATACAATGGAACTACCACCTCAAAGAACCATGTCTCAGCGTTAGAATACCACATGGTGTTGTATACCATGATAGACTCGGTCTGGTGTAAAGCGTTCCCTCCAACACTAGAGAGGCTGGCAGCTGAATAGAGCGGGGCCATCCCAAAAGGTTCCTTCTATTCTTACAGCTAGTTGAAAAGGATGTTCATGGAACACTTCGTCACCTTAGTGGATCGTACCAAAATGACCTTGGAGCTAATGTCATTAGTCCAAGGGAAGGATGAACCCCTTCGAGATTTCATCACCCGGTTCAACAAGGAGGCCACAACAATCCCTGATATGAGCCAGGAGGTAGCCCATTTAGCCTTGTAGAGCGGACTCCTACCTGGATCACCAATCAGAGCGTACATGGGGCGTTAGAGCCTCAAAACGCTGGTAGAGGTTTAATACCCCTCAAGATTGCTTTAAAGGAGTTTAATATACTACTCATACCAACAAGGTGCACTTCCTTTTAGGGAGCTCATATGCTAAGATACTCCACAGTTCAGCGTGCTTGGTTGGGAGTAGTCTTGGGTGGGTGACCTCTTGGGAAGTTTTCCCAGGGTGCGCATGAGTGAGGACAAAATGCGTTGGAAGGACTTGTATTGGTCTATAGGGACAGTTGTTGTCCTTGATGCACATTTCGTGACAATAGGCCCCTCCCTAATTTATTTGGGTTTGGGGTTGCTTGGCTCGGAGTAGTCTTGGGATGGGTGACCTCATAGGAAGTTTTCTTGGGGTGCGCATGAGTGAGGAAAAAATGCACTAGAAGGACTTGTGTTGGTCTAGTGGGGACAGTTGTTGGCCCTTGATGTGCATTCGTGACAATAGGCCCCTCTCTAATTTGTTTGGGGTCGGGGTGTTATAAGAGGTGTTAGGAAAGGCTCCTGAATTCATAAAAGGAGATGAAAGTGACAGAGCCATGCTGGGAAGAAAGGTGACAAACAACCCAGCTAAGTAGGGTCGATCAGCCAAGTAAAGCTGAACAAGGTCAAAGAGACGGGGACAGGTTAGTGGGGATCAAAAGGAATGACCACAGAAGAGGAGCGCATGTTAGAAAGTTCGAACATTACACCCCGCTCACTCATTTTAGGTCTCACATATTCAATGTGAACAAGTCTGATGACAAGTGGCAAAGACCACCTCGCATGATGAATAGGAACTGCGATCCCAGCAAGTGGTGCAACTTCCATAGGGGTCACGGGCATACCACTAACGAATGCACATAACTTAAGGTTAACATAGAATATCTGGTCCGACAAGGGTATTTAAGTCAATTCAATCAATATTCTGATTACAATCGGCATAGAGAGGAGGATATGTCAGGTTATGACCATAAGAAGAGTCAGAAAGACCGAGATAAAAGTAGAGATCGTGATAGCAAGCTAAACGGTAAAGTGCTGGTCATTAGCGGTGGACCAGTACATGGCGGCACGGTGAACAGGGCAAGAGCTGACCTATGCGCAATGATTCACCAAGTGAACTACAATGACAAGCGCAGATGGCAACCCTTGCCGCCTCAACCGCGTACAGTGTTCGACGAATACGATCAGAAGGGCATAATCTACCCTCATGATGACCCTCTAGTAGTCACCGTGAGAATTGCAAACTGGCATGTAGACAGAGTGTTGATAGATGGCGGCAGTTCAGCCAACATAATCTTTATCAGTGCCTTTAAGAGCCTCAAGTTGGACAGGAAGGATCTGAAAAGGGTGAGCTATGAAGTCATAGGGTTCAATGGGTCAAACTTAATCCTAGAGGGCATTATGGAGCTGTCAAGTAAAGTGGGAGAAGGGTATAGATGACGCGACGTCAGAGATGAGTTCTTGGTGGTAGACTCACCCTCACTCTATAATGTGATAATGGGCAGACCACTGATCCACAAGATAAGCGGAGTGGTCTTACCACATGGCAATGGCTTACACAACCAATGATGGAAGATCTGCCAAACTGAGGGGAAGTCAGAAGACAACACAATAGTGTTACATTACAACCCTTAAGCATCGAGCAAAGATAAGATCCCAGTCAGGCTCAGAAGTTAAGAAAGAAGCTCAGGATGAGAGGAAGTCTCGAAAAAGAAAAAGAGAATAACATCGTAGTGAAAAGGACAAGTAAAAGTTGGCCATGGAGAATTTTGAACCTGCTAAAGAAGAGGCATCCAGGACGATTCCTAGCTGTGAACACAAAGAAATTGAACTCACCGAAGGAGATAGCTCCAGATTGGTAAAAATTGGCAAAGGGATTGAGCTTGAAGTGCGAGTTAACCTTATTGAACTATTGAGAAAGAACAGGAGCATTTTTGCATTCTCAGCAGAAGAGATGCCTGGAATTGATCTAGAAATCATGGTCCATAGGCTAAACGTATAGGAGGAAGTTAAGCCAATCAAGCAGTAAAAGAGAAGTTTCTCTTTCTCTGCTGAAAAGAATCAAGCCATACAAGAAGAAGTGGACAAGCTGCTCAAAGCGGAGTTCATTGAGCCATGTGACTATCCAGAATGGCTGGCCAACGTAGTCATGGTAAAGAAAGCAAATGGTCAGTGGAGGATGTGTGTTGATTTCACAAATCTCAACAAAGCATGTCCAAAGGACTATTACCCACTGCCAGGAATTGACCAGCTCGTAGACGCTACGAGTGGGCACGCATTGATGAGCTTCATGGATGCCTTTTTAGGATACCACTAGACTAGTTTGCACAAGCTAGGTAGGTAGAAAATTGCGTTCATCACTGAAGGAGGGGTGTACAATTACATTGCCATGCCCTTCGGGCTGAAGAATGCAGGGGCAACGTTTTTGAAGACAATGGATAAGGTGTTTATACATCAGAAAGGGCGGAGTGTGGAAGTGTATGTCGATGATTCAATTGTTAAAAGTATTACACCAGGCCAACATGTCATATTTTAGACCTAGAGGAAACATTCGCCACACTGAACAAGTATCACATCAAGTTGAATCTAAAGAAGTGCGTTTTTGGAGTGAGCTCGGGAAAATTCCTAGGGTTCATGGTGAGTGAAAGAGGGATAGACGTCGACCTCGAAAAGGTGTAAGCAGTTCTCAGCCTCCTAGAACCAAAAAGCACTAAGGACGTAATGCGCCTCAAGAAGAATGGCTGCATTGACCCGATTCATTAGCAAGTCAGCGGACAAAGCCTTACTATTCTTCTAGCTGCTAAAAGGGAACAATGAATTCAAGTGGAGTGAAGAAGAAAAACAAGCCTTTGTTGGTATTAAGTAGCATCTCACCAAACTGCCCACGATGATCAGCCTGGAGCAGGGTGAAACGCTCTAGTTAGACATTTCAGCCTCACCGCAGATAATACGATCAGTCCTCTTGGTGGAAAGAAACAAGCATCAACAACTAGTTTATTTTGTAAGTCACGTGCTGATCGAAGCTGAACAAAGATACCCGCTGGTGGAAAAGTTAGCATTGGCAGTAGTAACAATGACAAGAAAATTAAAGCCTTATTTTGACGCACATGTGGTTCAAGTCCTTACTAACCACCCGCTGGAAAAGGCCCTACAGAAAATGGATGCTTCGAGAAGACTGGTAAAGTGGGTAATTGAGCTCTCTGAGTATGAGTTGGAATTTAGGCCGAGGGCATCCACAAAGGCTCAAGCTCTGGCTGATTTTATAATGGAAGCCTCGTATGAGGAGAAGGAAGACGAGGTAGGAATTTGGAAAGTGGCTGTAGACGGGTCCACCGCTCAGACAGGCAGCGGGGCTGGGATCATTTTAACCTTGCCATAGGGCAACGTATTTGAGTATGCCATTAAATTCAAATTCAAGGCATCAAACAATGAGTTGAGGCAGAGTACGAGACTACCCTGGCTAGGCTACGAATGAGCACATCAGCCATAGCCAAGAAGGTCAACTGGTACGTGGTAATGAATGGAGAGCTAAATAAGAAAGGATTCTCAAAGACACTCCTTAGATGCATCCCTGAATGGGAACAAGAGGGAATCATGGAAGAAACTCATGCTGGAATCTGTGCAAATCACATAGGTGGAAAAGCCTTAAAAGTCGAGATACTTCAAAGAGGAGCGTACTGGCCGACATTGACACCAGATGCCTTGGCATATGTTAAAAATGTGAGAAGTGCCAAAAATATTTACCAGTTATCAATCAGCTATCGAATGATTTGACCTCGATTCTCATACCGATCCCATTTGCCCAGTAAGGAATGGACATATTGAGACCATTCACCACTAGGTCAGCGGGAAGGAAGTACCTCATAGTGGCAGTGGATTACTTCACCAAATGGATAGAGGCCGAGCCCACAAAATACATAAAGGCGTCCCAAGTCAAAACGTTCATCTAGAAGAATATTATCACAAGATTAAGGGTGCCATAGTGTATAGTTTTTTTTATCATGGTTGCTAGTTCGATTGTGATGCTATAAAGGATTACCTGGAGGAGCTGAATGTCAAATACGCAAGTGTGTCTGTGTGTCACCCGCAGAGCAATAGTCAAGCTGAAGCAGCAAACAAGCTGATCTTAATTTCCTTGCAGAGAAAGCTTGAGGAACAGAAGGGACTTTGGGCTGATCTAGTGTCAAAGGTGCTATGGGCGAATCGAATAACGGAGAAGGAAGTAACGGGCAAGAGTTAATTTTCCTTAGCATATGGAGCATATGCTACTGTTCCCGTAGAGGTGCAAATCCCCAGCCTGCGAATTCAACACTATGAGCAACAGGGAAATGAGAAGCGCCTGCTGGAAGAGCTAGATTTTCTCCCTCAGGTATGGTTGAAGGCAACTCTCAAGCTAGATGTATAGAAGAGCAGAATCTAAAAGGCCTACAACAACAGGGTCAGGCATCGGGAATTGCTGCCTGGTGATCTGGTTCTAAGGAGGACTATAGCAGGTCCCCCCAGAGAAGAGAAATGCAAAAATAAACAAGCAACAACAAATTACTAAGGCAAAATAAGAAGTGCATATTTAAGTTGAACCTCCATCCACCAAGGTAAAGAAACATTTAGCCAAATTAAAATAAGGTACGAGTTTAAGCTGGCAAACATCCAGCAAGTACATAAAATGAAACCAAGTTAACCTGGATAGACCCAGTAGGATAGAAATAAAAGTGTTAGATAAAAACACCTATATAACAGAATCTTTGGCGGTTATACACCCCAAAGATAAACACAAATACTACCTAGTAACTACAGACCTAGGTGATGGATATTCAGAGGAACCACTGAAGAATGAGGGAGATAGCTGCTAAAACCTAACTTTATTGCTCGTCAGCCACGGTCTTAACTCCAATAACAACGGCAATATCAGGGCAGAAAGGTACAACCAAGAATAAAGGTAAAAGAAACAAACCTTCTGAAGATCATGGCAAGTGGTGGTAACAGGAAGGCTGACAGAGCCACTAGTAGAGTCAGCTGGCAACCTGATACCCTAAGTGAGCCGGTATCCCAAAGTGCCACCCTGATAAGGATTATCCATGAAAAGAGATTCATCAGCCTGCACATTCATAAGAAGGCGAAAAAGCTCATTCCCAGCCCCATCTAGGCACAGGACGGGTCGAAAAGCAGCGTCAATAGGCACCTTTCCAAATTCTATCGCTCAGTAGGGCGAAAGATGCCACCACCAGACCGAGAAGTCGCTGACAATGGATTTTCAAAGGCATCACCCAGATCCTGGTGAACATATCGATTAAGCTCGGTGGAGTTGTGAGTCCCAAGCTCCTTTGCAACATTCTCGCTAAGAAGGCCAGTGTTAGCAGAGTGGGATGCAAGGGGATCCAGGGCAGAGGAGGTGCGATCCCTTTTGGCAGCCGGCTGGTTTGTAGGAGAGGGGAAGACAGAGGGAGCCTCTAGCTTGGTCATTAAACCGAGGAGTCTGCTGTTGTACCCCAGCAGACTGAGAATGACAACCCCGGCTGTAACACCCCATAATTTTAAATTAAGGTTTTACGCGCACTTTTCAATAATACTTTGATTTCTATTTAAATTTTGAATTTTGAATTAGTTAATATTAATATTTTGATATTGTTGTTAATAATACTAATATTATTATTAATAAATTTGTTATGTATATATATTATTAATTGCTTCGTATTTCGTCTTTTCTTCCTAATTTTTGTTAAAATATAAACTTTATATGTTATTTTGCGTCATGATTTAATTATTATTATTGATTATTATTGTTCTTATTATAATTATTTTTGTTATTGTTATTGATACTATCAAATATTATTATTAATAGTGTTGTTATTATATGTGTATTTTAATTGCTTCTTAGTTAGTTTCTTCTCTTCGATTATTTTTGGGCTAACTAGGATTAGCTCGGTATAGATTTTAGGCTAGTAGTTAACTGTCTAATTAAGCTTGTATAAGCTCGTTTATTTGCGCTACTTAAGCCCATGTTAATGCTTAGTTAACCCTCCTAATAATCAGCCCATTGGTTCCTAAATCTAGGATTTCATAAGGTGGACATCTAAGATGCATTTTTTTTACCCAATTCTTCTCCTCTCACACGGCTTTACCCGCTGGTAAGTTGCTGCACAAATTTAGCCTAGTAACCCCCTTCATTACACCTCATTCAAGGCTAATTAAATTTTCTTAATAACAACCTATTTGCTGCTCTAAATACTCTTCTTCTTCCCCTCTCAATTACGTATAAACCTTGACCATTGGGTGTGTATTGTTGCTGCATTTTATCATTTGCTTTCTCCTCTCAAACTCTCTCAAATTTTCGTGTATTCATCAAGGGTTTTCGTGGGTAATTGCTGTTGTGTTCCTCCCCCTTATTCGAGCACTCAAACACCCTATAACATCATCAATTGGGGCTAGCAAGAGGCGTGAGTTTGGAGCGGCTCGGACGGATTCAAATTACCCTAATGCTCAATGAAATAGCTGCTGTAATTACTGTCATTGTGTCGTGGATTTACAGCCCTATTTGCCTAGTTTTAGGTTGCTTTTGTACCCTAATTGGTGTAGCATCATGATAGGTATGTTCCTAAATTGTTTAATCATATTTTAGGGAAGTTATGCCATGTATTTTAAGCACTAGAAGGACTTAATTGCTGCTTCTATACTCACTGAGGTTGTCGTGTACTCCTACAGCCCTTGTCATGTTTATTTGCTTGGTTTCTAAGCCTTTCTTGTTGATTTATAATTGGGTATCATGTTAGGAATATCCCAAATTTAAATCATCATGTTTTAAGTAAGTTTTGATGTGATTATAAGCCTAAAACTAAGCAAATGTGTTGCAGCCAGAACAGTTTGTGAACCGTGTGAATTGAGTGGTTTTAAGTGATGTATTGCCTAATTTTTATGCCTAATCTTGTACCTATCATGACCTATTATGTTTTTAGAGTGTGTATGTTAATGAGCTAAGATTAATTATGGGTTTAAGGTTGGTTTTGGGTGAATCTGTTGTGCAATATGCTGTTGTAATTGTAATTAGGGGCTGCTGCATTATCATGATGTTTTTGGTATGTTAAAGTCATGAATTTAAGCCATCTTGTATGTATATATTGTCTAATATGTGGATTAATATGTCATAGTTTTATTTTATCATTTTGGCATGATTTGGGGGTGAGTTTATGAAGTGTCAATGAAGTGGTGTAGCTGCTGCCATTATTGGTTGTTCGGTAAATTGTCGACATCGTTGTGCTTTAAAGTCAAATATTACTGTTTTTAGCACCGCTTCGCCAAGGGATGTGTATGGAGTGTATTGTGATATTTTTTTTATAATTAGCTTCGTACCCAAATCCAGACAATAAGAGTGACACCCTGTTATGATATATAAGTTGTTTTTGTATATTTTGAAGTTAAACTCTTTTGAAGGATTTTTGTTGAATTTTGGTCTTAGAAGTAAAGACCTGCAGTATTTTAAATTGGGGTTGATGATCCCTAAATGTGTTTGGATGATTTTGAAGAAGTATTTTTATAGTTTTATATAATTTGTGAGTGTAAGATAATCATTTGGCTGCGGAATTCAATGGTTGGAACATGCCAACATCTTGGGTTGCGGAATTCGAGATGTAATTTCCTAGGTTAATTGTTGTCGTCCGAAACTACTCGGGCTGCGGAATTCGAGTAGGAAAACCGGGAGATTGGCCATTCTTGGACGCAGATGGCTGCGAAATCGTCTGTAGGTTCGCCATGACAAACCTTTGGTGGTGGGCTGCGGATTTCACCGGGGTTTATATTTTATATGCTTGCCTCACTATGAATAAGTTTTCGAAAAGTTAAAATTCCTTGTTTTAAAATTATTACTACTTTGAGAGGTCTTCTTAAGTCAAGTCAAGAATTTCCTTAATCTCTCTAAAGAACCTTTATAAGTGTTAATTATTGTTTTTTTTTATGAGTTTATCGCTCTATTTTGGGTGCTATTTATTCTTACTTTGTAAGCTTGTGGTAATATATCTACTTTCAATATACATGTTTGTTTTGTATTATAATCATGTTGCATGTTTTGAACTGTATTCCTATCTATGTATATCATCAGATCATGTTTATCTTGACATGTATATATTTTGTATTATTTATATGTCTGCTTCTATGCTTTACCCTATGCTTAGCTTTGTGTTTCTACAAGTTTTGGGAGAACTGCTAGTTACTCCCCACTAATTGTGGAACCTAAATGTTATTTGCAAGTGAAGAGTAGTGTTTGTTGAGTTTGGACTGAGAGCAGAATGTTTAGTTTGTTCCCTTGTAGTTTTATTGAGTTTCTTTTGTTATCTTTACATCTCTTTTTGGAATAGTCGGGTTTGAGGTTGTTCTGCCTCGTTTGAAAGTTTTCTTTGATTATTTTGGATTTATTTCTCTAAACTATATTTATTTTAGTTCTTTATTTATTTCCTTTAGTTTTTAGTAACCCTTAGAGTGACATTACCGTCTTGACGTTATTTCCGCTAACGTCTCGCCTTTTGTTTTAGACGAGGTGTTAGACCGGCTGGCAGTTCGCAGCCGACCTGGGAGCCCAAGAGAACGAGGAGCAACTTTGGGAAGCTCCCCAATCACATCTTTGGGAAGCTCGAACCCAGTGGTTTGAAACTTTGAATTGAAGGGAAAATAGAGTCTTTGGTAGCAATAAAAGTGTCAATACTGGTAGCAAAGAGCAGAACATACTCAGCAGAAGATGGGGCTTTTCACCCACAACAGTGTCACCCACAACCCCCGTTTCAAGGGAAAAGTTAAGAACGCTATCAGGAAAATTATCAACATCATCATTCTTAGCATCGACCAAAGCTTGTTTCCCGGCTGATCTACTTGGGATAACTGAGATGCCACCCGGCCGAAAACTGTAGCAAGGTCCTTCGCAATAGACGAAGCACCCCGCGCCACTAACGCCTCAGATCCCGAAGTAACATCTCTCAGCCTGTTCCGATATGCGCGATGACTCCCCATAGTGGAAGATGAAGGCTCAACATCAGCCCTACTAAAACCAGCGAGATCTATGGGAGTCACAGTTCCAAACACAAATCTTAATTAATTAGTTCAGCTAGAGCCAGCCGAATTTAACCCTTTAGCGCGCCAACACAGTCCTCCAAAGTTTCAAAAAGCTTAGGAGGATTCTCAGGTGTAGCGGTGAAAGGATTTTTCCAATTTTCCTTCAAGCCAAGAAGTTTCTTATCCAACTTGTCGTAACCTGAAAGG